TGAGGCCGGCAATCCCGTGATGAGTGATGAGGAGCAGTCCAGGTTCCATTCGGAGATTATGGAAGTGTGTTTGGCCCTGTCCCAGGCCCATGCGTTTTGAGGAAGTTGGCAAATATTGGAGGCTGAGTTGCATGAGTTGGGTTGCTCAGTGAGGAGGGTGCAGTGCCATGTTGGCACTGCGTCGGCGAAGACAGTGATGAAGGTTTGTTGGGCATCAAAGAACCATGAGAATGCTACAAGGAAGGCTTGGAGAAATTGGGCCCATCCAAAATCTCCGATGCACCGCTCGATCGTGGAGTCGAGGGATGGGAGGTGTTTGTGGAGCACAGGGGGTTCTGGCTCAGCCGAGTTTGTTTCGGATAGAAGAGGGGTTGAATCGGCCATTTGGTTCAGAGCTAAAAGCTAAGGTTTGAGCTATGATCTTAGTGAAATATAGCGAACGTTTTTATAGGCTGTTAGGCCAACTTTCTCAAAGTTGTAGTGAATAATGTTATATTTCCCCACGTTTTTTTTCTCGCACATCTCTTTCTTTCCCATCTTCATTATTTGTCTAAATGTCATTAAGACAGTGATTAGCTACATGATCATTGAAAATTGACAATTAAGAGATCCTATCACACAAGGTATGTTCATACAAAGACATCATAGAGTTTTATTTCGGTAGATTACTTGAATTTTTATAAACTGAATTTTTATTTTAAATTTTGGTAGATTGAACTGAATTAATTAAACAAGCATATCTTTTGGCAAAAAAATAATAAATAGACAAGCATATCTCGTGTAAGAACTAAGAAGGTCTGATTGCGATAATAAATGGCAAACAACCAATATGGTGTAAAGTATGAGGAAGTCTTCTGCCTGCTGCCCACATTGTTGACCCACATTATTAGATATTATTCTCCTTAGTCATTTTTTATTCTATAACGACGCTTAGCCATTTTTTATTATATAACGATGTGGCGTTGTTTCATTGTATCATTATTCGAACGGTTCATTTCCTTTATCATCATATAAAGATCATTTTAAGAAAACTTCATTTGATTTGGAGATTGTTTAATCATCTATATGAATCAAACTAGTTGACGGTAAATTATGAGGATATTACTTAATTATTATCATAATCATCGATTTATTTATCATACATGGATGGCTAAAAGGTCTTAAAGTTAACTAAATTTTTCTAAAGATGATCTTTAGATGATAAGGATACTACTTATCACGTGACAAGTCACTTATATAGTTAAATAAAAACAATTAATAGGGGTATGAATCATTGTCGGAAAGAATACTTGTATCTTTATACATGCATAAATAGTAACAAAGAACAAATTATTTAGATTTGATAATTTCATGCATTTGAATATTTGAAGCTCCAATTAATATTAACACTAGAACAGATATAGTTTGAAGCTAAAATCATATAATAGTACTAGAAAACTAGTTATAATACAAATAAATTGATCACAATGCGTATCAAAACACATGAATTCTATATATATACCAAGTCTTGCCCTGCACATGCAAACGTTTTGAACGACTGAAAACTGGTAAGGCTCAACATTATGTGAAGGGAAACATACAAAAAAGGATGGTAGGTCGAAATTGGCTCAATTAGCAACAATTTGGCATTTGGCTTCTTAATCGGAATAACATTCAATGCTTGTGATCAGTAATTAGCCAGCAACATCGACCTTTTATTATTATATATGCAGACTTCCCAGCTCACTGGATGTATGATTTTGTTTGGATTTTATTTTCCACATGGAAGAGCACTATAATAATGTTTAAAAGGTGGACGATGACTCATGTAGTCAATATATATGTATATCTTCACTCTTGGGTGCATAATAATACGAAAATAATTAAAATTTTCCTCAGTTATCTCCGCCTATTAGTATATTGTGTTAAACAAAAAAAAGAACAACAAGATGAGGTTCAGTTGCTTGCCCAACGTTTAGGAGTTACCCCTTCAATAAAAATAGGGCATATTTGATGCCACTCATTTGGATAAAAAAGGTGCCTAACCCATTTATACAATTTATCTCTCTTCAAGAAATTCAAAGCTCTCCCAACATCTCTCTTTTTTAAGGATTTTTATTTTGTGATAGGTAGATGGTGAGAGAACAAATGGAATCAGTTCTCTGTGTTTTCAAAGGGTGGTACATACACACATCTAATTTTACTTCTTACACGCATTTCTCAATTTATGACCGTTGGATCAATTGACTTTAATAAGATCGATGAACAAAATTAATAAGCGTTTGTGAAAAATAAAAAGAGGTATGTGAATTGCACCACCCATTTTCAAATTACAATCCAAAAAATAAAAAATGCTATTTTTAGATTTTAGAAACAATGCTTTTTTTAATTTAGAAATGGTTGCAGTCCTAAATTAAGTGTGATTACATAAATTCTTATGGGATTAGTATCTTTTAGATAGTTTCCAAGTTGTAATGTATTACCTGAAAGACAAGGATTCTCCCTTCGTTACTACCATAAATAAACGCACGATGATATGAGAAATCATCACAATAGAATCACCAAATTCTCTCATCTTTCTCTGTCTACTGCTAGCCCTCTCCCTCTTTATAATCCCTCAGTAAAATACACCTACAACATGTTATCAACATGCTTCCGTTGCTGCACTAAGGAACTGAAGGTTTTGGTATGAGGTTCTTCTCTACAACTAAGCATTCAAATGCTTTCTTCGTTTCCATCCAATCCAGATTCTCCTAAAACAAGAAATTGATATTTTATAAGCCTTGATGCATAAAAACGTTCACCATTATGCACGAACCCCTAATTTATCTATGTTTTATGTATTGCCTTATATTGCATATATTGCTTAATATATATATATATATGTATGTATGTATGTATGTATGTATATATATATGTGTATATATATGTATATATATCTTGTTCAAGCATACGCAATATTATTATGTTCATTTTGCATACGTAATATTATGTTTTATTATGATATTGGAATTGCTATGTTGAATTGTGTGAGTAAAACAAAATAAGAAAATAGAAGTAAAAACTAGGGATTTAAAAAACTAATTGCGAGTCGTCTCGGCCTAAGGCCAAGCCGAGAGAAGAAGAAAAAAAGAAAAATTGCAGCTGAGTCACACCACCAAGCCACGCCTAAAGGTGGGTAAACAGGTCTAGGACCCGCTAGGAGGAACGGATACAATTGGTTCAGGGCAAGTCCTAATTTAGTAAAGAAGAAACAGGACGAGGCAGAGGTATTTACCGGCGGGGTGAGTCTAAAAATTTAGTATCATGAGGCCCTGGACGACCCGTTTATAACATACATTAAACTTTCCACTCCCCCAAACTCCCCATCTTCTCATTTCTCCCTCCTAGCTTCCACCCCCAGACTCCCCATCTATTTTTCTTGTTCTTTCCAAACACAATCCTTTTGTCAAATTCAATTGGGATTTTCTTTAGGAATTTTATTTGATTGTGGAAGAGAAAATGATTTGTTGTTAGATCTCTTTGTTTGAATTTAGATGGTTGGTGTTTCGGCAATGTCTCTGTGGGAGCAAATGGGACAACCTCTCTTTGAATTAAAATCAAAATTCACCACAACACCTTCTTTGAGAAGCTCGCGCAAGAGGCATCGTGTTTGGTCAGTTGGTCCTACCCTCTCCACCTGTCTTTTTCTCTCACTCAGTCTCTCCCTTGGTTTTATTGAAATCATACTCAGATTATCAAGATGGCATGAGGCCCTAGATTGGAGGAAGACAATGGACTCTAGTTCGGCAAAGATGGTTGCGCAAAGGACCTGAGGGATACTGGATATCGAAAATAGACGAAGATGGCACAACAACGACAGTGGACCTTGTCAATGACGGTGAGCTCCAGATCGACAAAGATGGCTTGTAAAGAGGATTTGGGTTGGACCTGTGGACTCTGCCTGACTGGCTTGTTTGAAATGGGCTGGTTCAGGTCCGATTCTAAATTCAGAAATTCTACTACCTGATCTGGCCCGCCCTCGTTGCATTTTAAAATGGGTCTGGTTTGGTCCCTTCAGATTTGGGTGCGATCTGGCCCGTGCTTACCCTTAACCGCGCCTACTGCACAGAGCGAAAACAACAATGTTTGGCATCAAGGCCAGCAACCCAAAATTTTGTGTCAGTTGCATGTTGATGGTCCAAGCCCAATCCTTTGGGCTTCTATCTTAAAACTGCCCAGCTTTTGCTAGGTTTTGCTAGGCTGTCTCTCCTCGCCTCCTCGCCTCGTTGGGCTGCATGGTCTTGCAACCTGCAACTGTTGTTGTTGGACTTTTGTTTCTCAGGCCCGACCCCATGCAAGGCTCATGTTCGTGTGGTATGTAGCCTGATGCTATTGGGCTACCATTCGCTTTAGCCCAAGCCCTTGTTGGGCTTCTCTTTGCTTCAGCGTGCACCTAGTTTTGCTGGGATGTTCATGGCCACAACCGTATTTGGACTTTCTTACTTGTTGGCCCATGGCCATCCAAACTTAATATGAGTTAAATAACACTATCGTGCATCATTTAGAACAAACTACAAATCATGCATCATTTAGAACAAACTATATAATATTAAGTTAAATTGCAATCCCAAAAAAAATAGAAAAAAGTAAACACCAAGGCCTGCCTAACCAATAAGGTTGCACTCACAAATCCTCACGCTTATGGGGAACGACTTTGTTGTGTAAATCAGCAACACATTGTATGCAGCGAGGCAGTATAAAGTGAATCCAACTAATCCAATCTATTCCATTTTGTCTACTGGCTGTTGTGCGACACAATCCCAGTGTTGAATTTTCCAATTTCATATTTCTCTATCAACACAAAGTCCCAGTTTTATATCTGAAGTTTCTGCAAGGGACTTACAAGTAATTAATTGATTAGGAGAATCTATCCACGAACCCGATGTCCGTGCTCAATTCCCTTCTACGTAATATCATTGTATAGAAACCAAAAAAATCCCAAGTGATCAATCCTCAATCACATCCAGTGTTTTCTCAAATAGGTCTTATGAATATATTGCAATAAATAATTGATATAAGCATGTGCATGCACTGTGATGAACAATTTAGCCACAGAAAAACTAACAATTGGATAACAAATCACATACTGTCTACAACTACGTAGAAAACAAATTTGTGTTATTAATTTATTTGATGGATTACTGAGCCCGTCCAAGGCTCCTATCATTATTCCATGAGATAAGAGAAGTTCATTTTCAATTAAGACATGAGTAGGCCAACGATTTCTCCTCAATGAGCTCTTTTGCAGTTGCATCCAACTTCCCCCTCGAGAACTCGTCAATCTTGAGTCCTGCATTAAAAATAAGCAAGCGTTCAATCAGCGAGTGCACTGAAACAGTCTCATAGAGGATTAGTTGTTACGTATCGCAAACTTTCACAAACACTTTAGAATAGAGAATGCTGAATCATCCGATGGAATCCATACGCGGTTAGATCTATCCATGAACTCTAATTTGAGATTGCCTATGAAGTTTTTAGCAACTAAAAGTTATCAATTCAGTGCATTCCATAACCTATCCCAACTTTATTTTCCAGAACCATTACTGTATGAAGATATTTGACTATCCTTAATGACAGTACTTTGTTGCTGCCTACTCATGATTTGAGTTCAAGACTCAGGTTTTTAATCATTAAGGAAGATAACAACGAACACAAAATATAACTTACCCTGCACAATTGACCATTGTCCTTTCTCACATGTAACAGGGAAGGAATAAATTAGGCCTTTCTGAATTCCATAAGAACCATCAGAGTACACTCCCATTGAAACCCATGTCCCCTGGATGACAGCAAAGAAATATTAAATTTGTATAGATTATATGAAGAAGCAAAAATGCCACTAGCTTTGAAAGAAAATAATATTGATAAAGATAACAAGAAACCTTAGGAGTCCCAAGAACCCAATCACGTATGTGATCACAAGCGGAACTTGCAGCAGATACTGCACTTGATAGGTTCCGAGCCTTAATAATGGCTGCACCGCGCTGCTGCACAGTGGTGATGAACTCGGTATTTAACCTAAAGAACAACCAATAACAGCATATTAGCAACAAATTAGTAAGTTCGATGAGTTGGATGATCGGAGAATTTGTACCTCCATGGTTGAACAAATATACACCATTTCATGGAGTTGACCCTTATTAAAAAATTAGCACAAAATGGATGAAGAATTTGTGTAAAGGAGGGGAAGCGTTTCTAGCTTCTAACACTCCCAAAACCATCCATTTTATATACCTTTTTTTCATTTCATAATGTTTTAGTGTGTTTTCGGGTCAGAAAAAGGAGGGTTACCATTGATCATTAGCCACAAGTTCCCTGACAGGCTTCTCTTCACTGCTAGTTGTGACAGTTGCATGATTAACATCAGGATACTGAGTTGAAGAGTGATTGCCCCAGATGATAACATTCTTCACGTCACCAACGTGAACGTTTAGCTTCTCGGAGATTTGTCCCAAAGCTCTGTTATGATCTAGTCTTGTAAGACATGTGATGTTCTTCTCTGGAATTTTAGGTGCATATTCTTTCAAGATGAGTGCATTAGTGTTTGCTGGATTGGCAACCACCAGAACCTACACGGTAAACTGGTAACGCATTACTAAAATTCTTTGCCAAAGAGAGAACAAAAAAGTATATACACGCATTTCGTACGGCTTCTCACCTTGACATCTGAAGCAGCATGCTTTTCTAGTGCTGAAGCTTGAGCCTTGTAGATTGATACATTTTTCGACATCACATCCTTTCTTTCCATACCTTCCTTCCGCGGGAACCCACCGACCATAATAGCAATATTGACATCTTTACAAGCTTCCTGAGCATCGGTTGTAGCAACAACACCTACAGACATGTACAAGGTAAAGTTTAATAAGAATTATCCTCAAAGGAAATATCAGTTTACGATAAATTCGTGTTCAACATCAGACTTTATGAAGCATACCTTTGAGAAGAGGAAAGGCAGCATCAATTAGTTCCATTTTCACCCCATTCAAGGCTTCAGCTGCAGGTTCAATACCAAGCATGTGCAGAATTACAGGCTGGTCAGGGCCTAGCATGACCCCCCTCGCAATCATCGGAACAATAGCATACCCTATTTTCCCTGTTCAACATCAAGCATGAATCTTCAGCGAGTTTTCAAGATTTCGGAACTACGCAAGTTTTACATTTAAAAGCATGACCCTTTTCATAATCTCAATAAACTGAAAGACAATTATTACAAATGTATGCCAAGTATTTTCAATATCATGAAATTGGACATCAAGATTAAGCTATAAATTCAGGCATGCCTGCAGCACCGGTGACCAAAACAGTCACAGGATCCTTCTCCATATTCAAGAAGCTCCACATGTATTTTATGAGCTTCCAAAAGAAGACAATAGTGAACAGAACAACCAAACTTTTCTGAATCAGTACAACATTCATATTCTCCATTTTCTGAAGCAGTTCTACAATCCTCTCCATTTTTCTCAGAAAACAAACAGGCATGCAACAAAGAATTCTCGTTAAAATCAAAACAAATCCAACCCTATGTTTATATATATCTCTAAGAATACCATCAATCAAACAAAGAATCTACAGCCTACAGGGACACCTCTTCAACAAGGCAATCAGATACCAGAACAAAGTCCACAAGATAATGTAAATACAGAATTTTTTTTATTAATTATATATTCCAAAGAAAAGAACCTATACGTCTTTCTGTTTGGTCTATGCAAGAAACTAATAATAATAATGATAAGAAATCTTGGAAAGTAAAATAATCGTGTTAGACTTTGGGAGGAGATTTGGGTTTTCTGTGTTGATGTTTAAGCCTTGCAGCTGTCTTGTGTTTTGTTTCATTCTGTTTTTTGTCTTAGTTTTCAAATGTAAGGCTGAGATTAAATCAAAGGTAATAGGCTAAATGTAAGTGTGTCTCATGGTATAACATCTCACTTATATGTGAGCATGTGGGATGCACGTGAGTTTTGGTTTAATGGGAGAGATAGTGCGCCTCAAACGGCTATATCTCCTCCCTACTCTAGTTTGTAGCTCTTTAATCATTTCAGTCATAGCTGAATGAAATCAAAATAAAAATTTTCTGAGAGTTCTTCATCTTCTCTGCATCAACGTTTTTCGTGTGCATTTTTATTTGTTGAAATCAAAACCTTGTTGAATTCTTCTTAGTTCTGTGCACTGCTCTGTTTTGTTATAGAACTCTAACATGGCCTCAGAGCCAGGTTCATCGCTTTAATCTGGGCGTGAATCTATGTTTTCTGGGTTCTTCAGTGAATCACTGAAGAATCGAGTTTCTTAAAAACGAAGATCTGTGTCTAACATGGCTGGATCAATGAGTTCTGAACTTCGTACTCCTATTTTCAATGGTGAGAACTATGAATTCTGGAATATCAGAATGCGAACCATTCTCAGGTCTCATGGACTGTGGGATCTTGTAGAGACTGGGTTTACTATCCCAGAATCATCTACTGTGGTTGAGGTAACTGATGAAAAGAAGGAGAAAGATGCAGCTACTCAAATTTCAACAAGTGCTGCGGAGATCATAATGAAGGATGCTAAGGCTCTTGGGTTGATTCAAGGAGCTGTATCTGATCAAATTTTTCCCAGGATTTCAAATGAAGAAACCTCCAAAGGAGCTTGGGATATCCTACAGCAAGAATTCAGAGGTGATAAACAGGTTAGAAATGTGAAATTACAAGGTTTACGCAGAGAGTTCGAGTATACTAGGATGAGAGATGATGAATCTTTGTCTGCATACCTTACTAAACTGTTTGACATCATGAATCAAATGAGGAGTTATGGTGAAGAACTATCTAGGGAGAGGGTTGTTCAAAAATTACTTATAAGCTTGCCTAGAAGTTATGACTCTATCTGTGCTGTGATTGAACACTCAAAGGATATCGAAACACTTGAAATTCAAGAAGTGGTTGCTTCTCTGAAGGGTTATGAACAAAGGCTTGATATGCATACTGATCATTCTACTGAAAAGGCATTTGCTAGCCTAAATGTTGGTTCTAAGTTTCAAAAACCCAGTGGGTTCTCTGGTACACATAAATCAGGGAAAAGTTGGAAGAACAAAGGGAAAAAATGGGATACTAAGCCTAATTTTATCTCTAAGCAGAATAATTCACATGATTCGAACAAAACAGCTTGCAAACATTGTGATAAACTGCACTATGGAAAGTGCTGGTTTGAAGGAAAACCTAAATGCACAAATTGCCATAAATTTGGTCATGAAGTCAGAAACTGTAATGGGAACAAAGTGGTGCAGAAGGCAAACTATGCACATCAGGTTGATGATATGGGAGCTTTGTTCTTTGCTTGCAATTCTGTGTCTCAGGTGAAGGTCAATAACACTTGGTATATTGACAGTGGTTGTAGCAACCACATGACAGGAGATGAAAACTTGCTGGTGAATGTGAGTAGAAATCTGAATGCAAAAGTAAAAATGGGAACTGGTGAAGTGGTGAGTGTAGCAGGAATAGGCACATTTTTCATTGAAACCAAAATGGGAAGAAAGCACATACAAGAAGTAATGCTAGTACCTGGCTTGGATGAAAATCTTCTAAGTGTGGGGCAAATGCTGGAACATGGTTACTATCTGCTATTTGGTGATAATGCAGTCTGTATATTTGATAGCTGGAACTTGAATGGACTGGTTGCTAAGGTTCAAATGACTAGCAACAGATGCTTCCCTCTAACAATGATGTCTGCCACACCACTAGCATTAAAAGCTAGTGAATCTCATTGCATACAGATCTGGCACAAGAGGCTAGGTCACTTAAACACAAGAGGTTTGCTGCAGCTCAGGGAGCAAGAAATGGTTCATGGGCTACCTCACTTGGAAAATTCCAAGAATATCTGTGAAGGATGTATGCTTGGCAAACAACATAGGGATGAGTTTCCAAGAGAATCTGCTTGGAGAGCTAAATTCCACTTGAATTGATTCATACTGATATCTGTGGTCCAATGCAAGTTGCTTCAAATGCTGGAAACAAGTACTTCATTCTGTTCACTGATGATTGTACAAGGATGACATGGGTCTACTTTCTGAGGTACAAATCTGAGGCATTGGAGTATTTCAAAAGGTTCAAAGCAATGGCAGAATTGCAGTGTGGGTACAAAATCAAGTATCTAAGAAGTGATAGGGGTGGTGAGTTCTTGTCTTCTAAATTCAGTGACTACTGCAATGTTTCTGGGATTCAAAGGCAACTAACCATGTCATACACACCACAGCAGAATGGTGTGTCAGAAAGAAAGAACAGAACTGTGGTGGAGATGGCTAAAACTATGCTACATGAAAAGGGCATGCCATACCAGTTTTGGGCAGAAGCTGTCCACACTGCAGTGTATCTCCTCAACAGATGTCCTACTAAGGCATTGGATAAAAAGACTCATTTTGAATCCTACAGTGGGAGAAAACCTGGAATTGCACATTTGAAGATCTTTGGGTCAGTATGTTATGTTCATGTTCACATAAATTTGAGACACAAGCTTGAGTGCAACAGTCACAAATGTGTGTTTGTGGGTTATGGAACCAGTGAAAAAGGATACAGATTATTTGATCCTATCACTAGTAAGATTATACTGTCTAGAGATGTAGTATTTGATGAGAGTGCTGGATGGAATTGGAATGACAGCCCTGGAAAACTGTCCAGTGTATCGATTACTACTGATATGGCAGAATTTGATCTAATTCAAGGGTCAAATGTTCAAGATGAAAGTGTATTCCCTGAGGCTATTTCTGATACTTCACTAGATGATTTGAATATTGATGTTGATGATCCGAGTTCAATCATTGATCCATCACAGAGCTATGATTCTACTCCAAAGAAATGGAGATCCTTAAATGAAGTCATTGCACAGTGTAATGTATGCATTATGGAACCTGAGAATTTTGAAGAGGCTGCCCTAGATTTGTCTTGGATGAAAGCTATGCAAACTGAGCTAGACATGATTGAGAGGAACAATACATGGATGCTGGTAGATAGACCATCTAACAAACCTGTGATAGGTGTGAAATGGGTATACAAAACAAAACTGAATCTTGATGGAAGCATTCAGAAAAACAAAGCTAGACTGGTTGCAAAAGGTTATTCACAAAAGCCAGGCATTGACTTTAATGAAACCTTTGCACCAGTTGCTAGGCTTGATACCATAAGGACCCTGATTGCTCTTGCAGCTCAGAAAGAATGGCAACTATTCCAGTTAGATGTAAAATCTGCATTCCTTAATGGTGTACTCAAAGAGGAAGTTTATGTTGATCAGCCTCAAGGGTTTGTTATACAAGGCAAGGAGGATAAAGTGTATAAGTTAAGTAAGGCACTATATGGCCTTAAACAAGCTCCAAGAGCTTGGTATGAAGAAATTGACTCTTACTTCACCAAGGCAGGTTTTAAAAGAAGTCCAAATGAAGCCATCTTATATACTAAGGTTGAAAAGTCAGGAATCCTCATAGTTTCTGTCTATGTTGATGACATTGTGTACACTGGAAGCAGTGACACAATGCTTGACAGTTTCAAAAATGACATGATGCAGCATTATGAGATGACTGATTTGGGATTGCTACATCACTTTCTTGGTATGGGAATTGTTCAAACCAAGAAAAGCATCTTCATACATCAGAAGAAATATGCAATGAAAATGCTGGAGAAATTTGGACTGCAAGGTTGTAAGTCTGTGGGAACACCACTTGCAGCAAATGATAGGTTATGCAAAAAGGATGGAAGTGAAGCTGCGGATGAATCTGAATACAGGAAATTGGTGGGAAGTCTTCTGTACCTTACTGCCACTAGACCAGATATAATGTTTGGTACTAGTCTCTTGGCAAGATTTATGCATGGTCCAACTAAGAAACATATGGGAACAGCAAGAAGAATACTAAGATACATTCAAGGTACTATGGATTTTGGCATTGAATATGTGAAAGGAAAGTCAGCAGTTCTTATAGGATATTGTGACAGTGACTGGGCTGGGAGTATTGATGACATGAAAAGCACATCAGGGTATGCCTTCAGTCTTGGCTCAGGTGTGTTCTCTTGGGCATCAGTTAAACAAAACACAGTAGCATTATCCACTGCAGAAGCATAATATGTAAGTGCTGCTGGAGCAACATCTCAGGCCAAATGGTTAAGATTCGTTTTGGAAGATTTTGGGGAAGAACAAGTTGAACCTACTGTGCTAATGTGTGATAACACTTCAGCAATAGCTATTGCCAAGAATCATGTGTTTCATCAGAAAACAAGACACATTAGCAGGAAATTCCATTTCATCAGAGATGCAATACAAGAGAATGAGATTGAACTTGTTTATTGCAAATCCGAAGAACAAATGGCAGATATCCTGACAAAGGCTCTACCAAAGGAGAAGTTCAACTATTTCAGAGAGATGCTAGGAGTGAAGTCAGCTGCCAGCTTAGAGGAGAGTGTTGATGTTTAAGCCTTGCAGCTGTCTTGTGTTTTGTTTCATTCTGTTTTTTGTCTTAGTTTTCAAATGTAAGGCTGAGATTAAATCAAAGCTAATAGGCTAAATGTAAGTATGTCTCATGGTATAACATCTCACTTATATGTGAGCATGTGGGATGCACGTGAGTTTTGGTTTAATGGGAGAGATAGTGCGCCTCAAACGGCTATATCTCCTCCCCACTCTAGTTTGTAGCTCTTTAATCATTTCAGTCATAGCTGAATGAAATCAAAAAGAAAATTTTCTGAGAGTTCTTCATCTTCTCTGCATCAACGTTTTTCGTGTGCATTTTTATTTGTTGAAATCAAAACCTTGTTGAATTCTTCTTAGTT